TTTTGCAAATTTAAAACGAACATTTGATAAGTGGGCTTCAAAAGTAACCGCTTTGGAAAATTAGACCATAGGGATTTTCTAAAACTTATTTTTAAAGACATTTTTCAGGTTTTTTAGCCAATTTAGACATCCACTTTTGGATCACTTCCCTGACGTTACCCATTCAAACCAAATTATTCCGAAGTTAAGGTTACACTCTATTAAAGCCTTCCTAAAGTTTAGGCTTAACAAACACCGTGGTTTCCTACCGTATTCCCAGATGGGTCGTTGACGATCAATCATTTCCAAAAAAAAATCAAAACTGATATCTTTCTTTCCGAAAATGATGTTTCAAGTAGTCTAAAGCATCGGGACAGCAGACCAAGAAACAATTATCAAGCGATGCTACGGCAAAAAGTCTCTTTCGGCTTTATCAGACCGAACGATAATGGCCCTACAATAAGCTACATAATGAACAATAATGTACAATAAACTCGGAAAGAAGGCTCAAATGTACGAGGGTTTTTTTGAGAAATAGGAATGCTTCAGAAAAATTGGCTACCAGCCACTTACAAGCCCGCATAATGTAGTATCATTTTCAGTCACCTTAATCCAAAGTTTTCAGTAATTTTTTCATCAAAAAGCCGGTCAAGCATACTGTATTTCCTCTGATAAAGCTTGAGAGATGGAGAGGGAGAGTGAGAGGGAGATAGAGAGAGAGTCTCGCGCTAGAGAGGCATAGCGGAAGAGTGAGGGAGAGCGAGGGAGAGATAGGGGGAAAGGGAGAGAGCGAGAGAGCGATAGAGAGAGAGAGAGAGAGACGACTATTAGAGGATATACAGTATTCAATACAACCCAAATCATATTGAATTCCAAGCCTTCTAAGTAATGCATGGCTTTAGGTTGGCCGCATCGTCCAACTACCTATGGCTGGCCGCGGCACCACCAAGCATGAAAACGCAGCAAGCCCCCCTCTAAAACCCCCTAAAACATCCTTTTTTCTAATTCATTTATCTGTCCCACCTCCAATTCGTCATTTTCCATTCTTTTTTATGCTAATTTTTGTACCTTGTCTAGCCTATTTTCTTGCTTGATGACTTTAGTGATTTTGTAGATTTTTTGGAACTTGTAAATTTATCCGTGCTTTCGTTTGATAAAGCTAAGTAGCATCCCATGGTTACGGTAGTTACAAAATGCACAGTATTGACCAGAAAAACTCAAAAATTCTAAATTTTAGGATGTTTTCTGCATTTAATAAAATTATTTAAATCTAGTTCTAAATGAAGTATATTAAAAGAATTAAATTCTAAATTGAATAAATTAGTCAAATTTAATTCTGAATTCTACATTTTTTGATTCAATTTAATAAAATTGATTTTAGTAAACGCAACGCGAATAAAATTTTTGTTGTTATGGAATTAGTGGTTAAAAGCTAAATAGAAGGTAGATCCACGGAAAAAAAAGGAAATTACGAGACGGTGTATCACTTTTCTTTTTAATTTGCGATGAAACATTTCATCGTAAAAAAATTTCGGCTTGCGTGTGCGTATGGCTTCGAATTCGTTTGGGCAGGCACTGAAATACGCAAAAAACACGAATACATTTTTGTGTCTTTTCAGACGAATGCCTGGACGAATTCGACGCCAACCTCACCAAGTCGTGCATGTTCGAACGGCAGTGGAAGAATAGGTATCACCGACGGCTTTTCATAAATTTATTGATTAGCAAAATGTCTATATTATTGGTGGAAGTGCAGAAATGATACACCAAAATAGTCCTAGTTTAATTTTAAGTGCTTTGCGAAAATCTTCCGAATTTTGAGCTAGTTTTTTTAAAAAATAAATGTTGCAACTTCTCGTCTGAATAACTTTATAATTGAAAAGTTACTATACTCCATTTACACGCTCACAAAATTGAGACAAAAAAGACAGAGGTGAAGGCGGGGGAGTAATATGCCGGTTCTTTTTCATTATCAGGGGGGATCAGCTATTATTTAGTACACAATTTTTAAAATATTAATAGCCAAAGCACAAACCACAAAAGAGACTAGCCATTAACCTGCCAAAAGTTTTAAAAGCTAAAATTAATAATTTAAACACAGCTGAAGCCGACCATGGCTAAATTCTTTATTGAATGTTATAACAAGTTAAAATACAGTATATAAAGCTTCTTACCTGGGTAGTACATATCGAAAACTGCTAAAGTAACGGAAATTTACAATCTAAAGGTTGTATTACTATAAAACAACCTGTTAACTAATCTATAAAATCAAAAGTTTTAATTTGAAAGTGACAGTATTTCATAAAAAAATGTTGGATAGATTTCAGAGACGATATTGATAGTAAACCGAGCGCTTCATGAACAGTTATCAAACTCAAAAAGTCGTATCGACAAGTTCAAATACCGTGAAAAAAATGTGGTTTCAAAAATTTGATAAATTTGCGGATGTCGGGCGGTTGTATTAAAAGGCCGGTAGTATTTCTAACACTCTGTTTCATTTTAAGGTATTTCTTCGACAAGGAGACGCGTACGTGCCGTATGTTCTGGTGGGATGGGTGCTTCTCGAAATCGCGGAATATGTTTCAAGATGAGGAGAGCTGCCGGTGGAAATGTCTGGGGAAACACCCGAAGAAGCGGGAAGGAGGTAGACATTTAAAGGGGATCAAAAGCCAAAAAAATAAAATTGCCGTTTTGACATTATATACCAGCAGAAAGGGAGCGAGTTTTAGCGAGAACGACTCGAAGTACTAAAACTTCAGTATTTTTCCTATCTTGTTATCTGAACGGAACATTTTGTTTTTCGGCGCTGGTGCATCAGCGGAACTTGGGGGGGGGGACAACCTTTCCCCCTAGGATCTAATGTTTCTAATTTAAATAAAAGCATTCTTTACAAATTATCATCCTATATTTTCGATTTTCGTTCAAACATGATCAGTTTTATCCAATTTCTCAATTTCCAAAGTTTTTAAATGGTTTTTCCGCTTTAAATATGGTTGGATTTGCTAAAAACACGAGCAAATCCTGCCTCTCGTCGTTATAAATAACAAAATCATGCGTCTTATGTATGCGTTTCAGGCCAAATTTTTCATTTTAATGTCAACACAGTTTGAAAGAATAGCGCCCGACTGGTAACCCAACTTTAACTTTATCATGGCGACATTTTGTTAAAATTTTCAGCATCAGCTTACGAAAGTTCATTCAAAAGAAGGAATTTTTTGAAATATTACACTTAGTTCGTTGTGACCAATTTTTAAGAAAAAACGCGTCGTGTCCCAGTCACTACAAAATCGATAGCTAGCTAGATTCATAGTCGGCATTCCGCGTTTTTTTAAATCACCAGAATTTCCGTTGAAACTCACGCAACTAATCCAACTGTCATGCTGAGAATTCGATTGGAGGTTGAAACATTATATTTTTCTTTGGGAATGTGGAGGAAAATAACGGACGGTATTTTTTCCCATGATAAAAGGTACATGGGTTTTGGTCGAAGCGATCGCTTTAATATAATCGCCGCCGAGTAATCAAAACCGCCTCGGCCCGCAAGGCTGAAAACCGAGAAACACTTTTTTTCCAGAGAGCTGCTTGGACCAATTCGACACGGCATATCTGGGCGATTGTCGAGCCGGCCACTTCGAGAATCGCTTCTACTTTGACTTCGCTACAAAACAGGTGGTTTTGAGCGCTTAAAGGGACTCCGAAATCTGGTCAGATTCCTGGCAAATAACCAGATGCGACTGCAACGCGACCGCGCCGCATGATCTTGGGCACTTGTTTGGACGTGAAAACGCTTGAATTTCAAAATTCTGACGCTATTCCTGGAATCTTAAACGAATTTTGTTCATTCTGGACGATTCAATTACGAAAATTGATCTGAGAATCACCGAGTTCGAGAGATTGAGTGTCCGACAAGGCATTACGACATGTAATCGCCGCGCGCTCAAAATGTCGTTTTCGCCCTGAGAACGTTTCGGTTTCACTCAAATATTTTACGTTTTTGCAACGAAATCAATTTTCTGGTACTTCTCGGAAGTGAGCCTTTCGTTTTTTGAACACGAGGTTCAATCCGCCGGACACGAGCCGTTTTAAAAATTCTCTATTCCCTAAACGATTCTCTTTAGAAGATTCTAAAAAAAGTAAGGCTTGTTTACAATTTTTACTGGAACTGGATTCTCTATGTGTAATGGGGCGTGCTGAATAGGAGGTGGTTTAGCCATCCGGTCCGTCACTACATTGGAACGGCTGCGCGACCTGGCAGCCAGAATTTAAGCGAAACATTTTTGTGTAAGATAGAATTTTTATCGACACTGACTGACTATATTGTATCTACCTGGGTGGATGTTGGAAGATTTTATCGTCAGTTTATTTATCGTCGTTTTACTGTTTATCTATTTTATTTTAAACCCTAAAATATTTTTTTAATAATCTTATGTTTGGCACTAAAATGGCGTTACAAGGCAGAAATCCTCCATGCTCGGGTACAGAAATTAGGAATTCACGCCGGCTTTTCGCGTTTATTTTTCACGAAACATATTTTCCGTCAAAAACCTTTGCTACCTAAGTGTACAGCAATTGCTGAATTTAATAACTAGAGGTTTATTTATAATTTGCTGTTTTTTATATGATGAAATCTAGCTTAATTTAGTGCACGACATTCAAATGGGCCGGCTGCCGCAGCGAGTCGAGGAATTTTTTCGACGACATCTCGGAGTGTCAGAGGGTGTGCGAGAGTCCGCCTAGGGAGCTTGTTGGTATGTATTAAATTTATATAAATAGATACGTAAAACGGTAGTATATAGATACTTAACGTAAAATGAGGGGAATTTCAACCACTTTTACGAGATGAAAAAATGTTTCAAAAATCTTGTGGATGAAACATGATTGCATCGGATTAATAGCATGTCGTCTCAAGGGCTATCATCAGGCAAGCTTGCAGAGATTCTTTAAAACCGCAACCCTAATTGATCCTTTTTCAGGTTTCTGCAATAATTATCGTTGGCAGGGCAGGCTAGCAGTATCCATTTGGGGAAAATAAAAAATCAATCCAGATGCTAACTATTTTCTGGATTTAATAAGTTAGAGCCTGGCAGGCTAGCAGAGGCATTTTGAGGAAAGGGGCTTGGCAGAGCATTAAATAAAAACTTGCCCTTAAAAGTCAATTGTTAAATTTTGTTTTAGGCTATTTTATAGACTCGCTCCAATTTTGAGGTTGACTAATCATGTTTTTAGATTTATATATATTACCAGGTTATGAAACTAATGTTTTTCACGTAATTTCAGAATCCTGCCTGCAACCGTTCGACCATGGCTACGAGGGTTCCTGTCTTTCCGATGGCCGATTCCACCAATATTACTTCTACGATATTGAGACGCACACCTGCAAAATGTTTTGGTATGTTAACATTAAAAAAATTTTCTAATTCTAACTAGCTAATTTTTTTGTTTGGCTCGGATTAAGTCTTTAATCACATGAACCGATTATACCCAGTGGTAATCTTCTAAAAAACACACTTTTCTAACGAAGCTGAAAACCACTTTAAATGGGTAGATTCTAGTTCTTTAAAAAATTCGTTTCATAAAATCTTAAAAATTAAAAAATACGGTAGCTGGCGTGCCGTGGACGAAGCCACCTAGCCAAGGACTTTGTGATAGGCAACATTGCTGCTACGGCTAACCAAAATGTCGCTTTTCGAAGCATGTTTCAAAAACTTTCGACGAAAGGAGGGCACCCGTCTGACTAATCAGACGCAATCTTGGAGCCATCGCTTTACTAAAAAACTAAAAATATTTTTCCTGGCTGAATAAGTAACGCATCCCTCAAATGATCGCTGCAAGCATTCCCAAAACTTGCGGCGTCCGGATTCCGCTTGCTCCCGATTTTACACGATTAATTCTAATTAGAATGCTTAATTTTCAAAAATGTGTTTCAAAACATCTTATGAAATAAAAAATACAGTAGCTGCCATTGGGTAAAAGAAGTATGTGGTTAATAAACAGTTCGTATTCTTTTGTACTATACAACATTCCTGATTCCGTCAATTAATATATGGTTGCGAAAGCATGTTTCAAAAATATTAAAATTAAAGGCCGGTGCGACAAAAGTAATGCAAGTGCAGATCCCATTTAGAATCATACATTTCCAAAGCTAAAATAAAAAAATGTATTTATAAATTCCGCTACCACAAAATATTGGTTTCCAAATTCTCGATGCTGACATTATGAAATCTCACGATTTTGTATCCTTTCTATTCTCACGAACAATTTTCTGGATTATGCTGAACTTTTTTGATTTAAAAATTATTTTCAGAGCTAGAAAAATGGCCTCAACTTATATTTTTCATTAATTTCAGGTACGGTAACTGCCGGCGTACCAGCCAGAATATATTCCCGGATTTAGCGAGTTGCCAATGGGTCTGCGAGAGGGATGTCATAGAGAGGCAGCAAGGTTGGTGTTGCAAGAAACCCATGGCTCACTAAAGCCGCATTTGCGGCTTTTTCGATGAATTTTTACGAAACATTTTCTATTTTTTTGTAGGTTAAAAAGTTTAATTAACTAAGTTAAGTGTTAGGAAGTTAAGAAGAATTAATTAAGTTAAATTTGGAACATGGCGTATGTAAGAAAGTGCTATTAAGAAGTGCTGGACCATTCGTACCATTTATTCCTTGGAAGCGCTACAATGATTGGCAGGCGGTAAATGGTAGATTGGCGAATCCAAACCTACTTTCTGATTTCTTTAGGCTAAAAAATCAGAAAAGTAAAGGAAAAAAATAGTTATTTTCATCTATCGGGATTTAATAATGGTTATACAAGATTGCATTGTTAAAAAGCTTTTTAACGACATTTATTTGGGAAACATATTTTCACGAAACTTTCAGACAGCTGCCTCGACGAGTTCGACACACACTACGAAGATTCCTGTGGACAGGGGAGCTGGATGGAAAAGTGGAGGTTTGAAGTAAGTATTATGGGTTTTGCACTTTTAAAGAGACAGTGACAGCTATGTCGTCAGATGCAAAAACAGCTCGAAGCAAAAATGATTTTCAACTACTTTAAATTTGAAAATTTAGAGAGAGAGAGAGAGAGAGAGAGAGAGAGAGAGAGACAGAGAGAGGGAGCGACAGAGAGAGAGAGCGGGAGAGAGAAAGAGAGAGAGAGAGAGAGAGAGGGCGCTAGAGAGAGAGAGAAAGCGAGAGAGAGAAAGCGAGAGAGAGACCGAGATAAAAAAGTAAATGGGTCGAAAACGCATACATAATACAAAGTTTCGTTTCCTTGAAATCGCCTTAAACCCTGTAACATCCTTTTTATAGCATAAAAGCGGCCGCTGCGTCTCGTTCTGGTTTGACCAGTGCGTCTCGAAAAGCCAGAATATTTTCCCGGATTTTGCGTCTTGTTCCAGGCAATGCGAGGAACCAGGTATTCTGATCTGTTTTAATAGTTTAATTTTCGCGTTTAAATATTTTCGATTTTTCGTCACTTCAAACCTATTGTGGCGAGATTCTGATTACAATTTTTTGCGTTTACCTAAAATTGACATTTACTGAAACACGAATTTTTAAATTTCCGGCCGTTTTTTATTGAATTTTGCTTTCATTTTTGTTTTTTTTTTGACAGTAAAATCCGTTTTTATACCTGGCAAATCCGATCCGAATTGCAATTTCCCCAGTAGTCATCAATTCACGGTTTTCTGAAACATCCTTTTTTCAGGGCTGCATCAGTTGGCTCGGGTCGAGAATGCTGAATCGAGCTTTCGCTGCCTGGAGCCGAAACTGATCGGTGACTGCCGGGAAACGTAGGTTATTTTGTTGAAAACAGATTTTTGATGGTCATTCGAGTGGTTTTGCAATATCGGGGAGAAATAATTTTTTTTTGGATGTTCCCAAAGGCCTTTTGAAGGTTTCAAGGAATCACCTCCCAGATTTCCGGAAGCCGATTGTAATTCGAGCGGGGGTTAAAGGGATACCCAAGGTTTTGGCGGCAAATATATAGTTATGGATTCCGGGCAGTACAAATGGCGCTCGAATTTTGTGCGGCAATGGGCCCTCAATCCCGCACAGAATTCGGCCACCTTTCCCTCTTGTGGCGTCCCCATCCCATCCAATGGCTTGCCACTATGGCCTAATGGATAGCATCCAGGCCTACAAAACGGGGTCCCGAGTTCGACCCCCGCCCGCGGCATGGTTTTTGCTTTTTGAGCCTCGAAAAGGTTGGGCATCCCTTTAACATGAATCGCATTTTTGTCTTTTGAATAATTTGCCGAAATCCCCTTTTATCGAACTATCTACCTAGATAATTCTATAAAAATAGCTTTTACTTGATGATTTGATTGATTTAATCCGATCAGGTGCTTTTGCATTATCGGGAGAACCGATTGTTTTTGTAGGAGTCCAGAATTGCCCAGCAATGTATGGACAGGCCTTTTAATAGTGTTTTAGACTAGATTTCAAGCGGAAAAACTATCCAAAAAGCTTTAACAATTTCAATGTTGGTCGTCAAATCGCTATTTTTATTTTTACGGCTTGATGTTTATTTTTATGAAACTATGAAAAATTTGGGAATGTTTCGAATATTGTCCCCGATGCTCCGAGACGCTGCTTTCGGCGCTTTTTTTGCTTCTTTTTGTAATTCCTGAAACTCGGCTTCTAGATGCAATTCCAAATCTGACTAGGGAAGTGCAAATAAAAAACCCAGCAAACCGCTTAGCAAAAATATGGGTCTGATAGAGTCGGCGACGGGGATTCCGAAACTGCAATCAGAATTTGCTAAACGCTTAATACAAAATAGTTATGAGCATTTTAAGTTTTGACTACTTTCTCTGTCCTCCCTTATGAGCCCCTCCCAAAGATGGGTGTCCGCCTGTCGAGTGGTGTAGTGGTAACTAGCATGCCTATGGGGCGGAGGGTCTCTGGTTCGACTCCCCGGTCATGCAAAACTTTTTGCTTTTTGGTCAAAGTCAACAACTTTAGACTTTTTCAAAGTTTCGAAGTCGAAAAGGTCGTTCTCTTAATTTTTAAATTTATGAAATTGATTGCAAAGTGGTGGCGGGAGTGTCAGTACTCTTGCGGATAGGGCACTAAAAAATTCACTTCTATTTTTTCGTAAGGCAGGCCTAGACGCAGTCAATAATAAAGAAAATTTTAAAAAATCTAAATTTCGGACTTCGAAACTTTGAAAAAGTCTGAAGTTATTGACTTTGACCAAAAAGCAAAAAGTTTTGCATGACCGGGGAGTCGAACCAGAGACTCTCCGTAGTTAGCCACTACACCACTCGACAGGCGGGCACCCATCTTTGGGAGGGGCTCATAAGGGAGGGCGGAGCAAGTAGTGCAAAACTTAAAATGCTCATAACTATTTTGTATTAAGCGTTTAGCAAATTCTGATTGCAGTTTCGGAATCCCCGTCGCCGACTCTATCAGACCCATATTTTTGCTAAGCGGTTTGCTGGGTTTTTTATTTGCACTTCCCTAGTTAGATTATCAAAATCAACAACTTTGTATTTTGTGGAAATGTTTCAAAACTGTGGTTTTCAAAATCAGAAAAGCTTGTTTTAATAATCTCTTCCTATCCATCTAGTCCCATTCTCCGTTTCCCAAATCTAATTTTGATGGAACTCCTTAGGAAAAGATGTATCGTGATGGTCTCTTCAATGGCCCCGTTGGCTAACCTTAGTCGTATTGCACGGAAATTCCACGCCCTGAAATTCTCAAACAAAATAAATTTGAATGTTTGAAAAAATTCCCAATCAGCTCATAAATTTTAGAAAAAAAGCGGTTTCATCAAATTTTAAATTGTTTTGATTCCGAATTTGGGGTAGTAGGATGGTGCAAGCGCATTCTAAAAGTACAAAAACCCCAATTGTTTCGTAGTCATTCGTTAATGTCCCACCACATTTAATTAACGCGGTAATTAATATTGGTTCTTTTAAATGATCTTCCAGACTCACCGGTTTAAAGGGGCCGGCAAAGCATATCTATGGATTTGATGAGCTATGATATTAAACGGATTCAATGGAGGATTAACGTAAAGGCCATTTTTTTTGCCTAATCGATTACGACGGCTACATGAAGCCGTCGAATCCAGAAAATGAATAGGATAAAAAAAACATTTGCCATTCATGCCTGCAAAAATTTTCGATGTTTAAAGAAACACAAAAAGCGCGTAGAACAAGAAGATGCTTCAAAGATTCACCTATCTGGGTTCTCGAATCGTACTGCAATTCGAATGCGCATTTTTGCACTTAAACTTACTTGCCACGACTATTTTTAGGGCATTAATGTTTCATTGAGAGCATCTTTTATCGGATTATATCATTGCATTTACTGATTTAAACTAATGAACGCAAGCGCTATGAACGTTTTGACAAAAGTGGAAAAACGAGTTTCAATGTTTGGCCCATAATATTCCTGGAACCGCACCGCAATTTCTAGATGTAGCAGAAGAAGATTGAATGTTTTCTCTAGCATTTCTTCGGACTGAATCGCTAATTTGAGTTGGGTTTCTCTATTTCGCATATTTGGCGATAAGCCTATCGTAATATTAGAGCTTTATTTTCGCAATTGGTACTACTTAAGCGACAGCGAAAAATATTTGGGTAAAAACTGCAAACACGGAAAATGTTTCACAGATTGGGTCAGGATATTTTTAGAATCGTCCTGTAAATATAGGTTTTTTTCCGTTTGTGTTCCTTCTCATTAAGAAAAACGCGGCGATTTAGCAGTAAAAAGCGGGTTTAGGAAAATTAAGGCACGTACCTATTTATACGCAATGTTTTTCCTTTTGTTTTTATTTCTGAAGCTCTTAATTCTCAAAAAATCGTTGCAAAACGGCTCTAAAGCTATAAACGGAGCGTGGAGCTGGGATATACCTGGAAATACGTTTTCAACCCTACACTTTTGTATGTTTCAAGGATTCACCTTACCAAGTTGTGGAAGCCAAGTGCAATTCCAGTTCGGTCTTCCTATGAATCGTAATTTTTTGTGTATTTTCTATACTTCTCCGCCCACCCCGGGTGGGCCCCTAGGGGGACAGAGGGGGACTGAAAGGGGGGATGGTGGGGGGCCCTGGGGGTTAGCCTACGGCACGCTCCAATCGACGCGCAATTGGTTCTTAAAGCAAAGGGGGGTCCGTCTTCTGCGCTTTCAAGCCTCTGTAACCTTTTACCGGCAAGTTTTATAATCTGAGTGACCGCTCAAAAAATAGAAGAGACTTTGCTCTATCTTTTAATAGTGGTTTTGTCAAAATCGAGTGTTGGAATCGAGACTTCTGATGGTTTGAAGTTTGAAAAATGAGGTGAATGTTATCGTCTGACTCAAATCCAGCTAAATCTTGGCCCAACCGCCTCAACTACATTTTCTGGAAGAGTATCTGTCATGAACTACCCAATATTGAGTCAACTCGGGGTTTTAAAATTTACGCGACGATTCCAATTCAATGTTTTCTGAAGTTTTCAATTAGCTATAACTTTTGTTTATGACGGTTTTCGAATCTACTAGCAGACTAGGAACTAAGAGCAGACCTTGCTCTATCCTTTGCGCCTAGTTTTAGAATAGCCCAGCGCAGAAATTTAGCGAATGGGTCCTGTAAGAGGGCGCGATGAGTTTACGATCTTTACTGGCCTATTCCGCATCGAGTGAATGTTCCGCTTGTATTCTTAATTTCTTTATTCGTAGTGAGTCTATTGGCTGCATGCCTCAGGGGGGTAGGGGGCACGGTCATTTGGGGGGGGGGGACAACCCGGGGTGGGCGGAGAAGTATAGTATTTTTGGTCTTTCGAATCCTTGTAGGCAGAACCATATAAGGTTTCGCGTAAAGTGCCTTATGTCGAACTTTATAACTTTATTTTACCGGTTTAAACTAACGAACGCATACACTTCAAACTCTATATGAAGACCGGAAAAATAAGCGCTTCAAAGAATGGTCGTTGCTATTCTCGGAATCACATCGCAATAGTTTTAAGTAGTCAGCGGGATTGAATATTTCCTTTAGCGTTCTATTCCGAATATTTGTAGAAAGCCTATCATACGCTTAAATCTACACCTTCGCAGTTTTTACTACTGAAGCTACAGCTAAAAATGTTTTGAGAAAAACTGCAAAAAAATGTTTGAAAATTGCTCCATGATGTCCCTGGAATAGTAGCGAAATTCATGATTGTTTAGTACTTTAGTTCCGTTGTATTTTCCTTAAGAAAGAAACGCGCGCGATTTAGCGCGAAAAGTGGGTTTCGGAAAATCGAGATGCTTGCAGGTCTAAACGCGCTTATTTTATACGTGACGCTTTTCCTATTATTTTTCTCTTAAATCCTAAAAAAATCGATTTTTAGGTTAAAGTTAAACTTTTAAAAATCCGATGCTTTTTACTTTCGAAAGTTTCATGGATTCACCTATCACCTTTCTGGACTCGTACTGCAATTCCAAGGGCGTTCCCATGAATCGCATTTTTTCATAAATAAATCAATGCGTTATCACTTTAATTCCAGATACCCGGCCTACTACTACGACCGTCAACTCCGCGAATGCCGACCGTTTGCCTATTCGGGTTGTGGGGGCAATGGGAATCGTTTTATGACACTCTCCCAGTGCGAACAAACATGTTTCGAATTCAATTCACTATCGGGTGGGTGTTTTCATAATTGATTTGCACGAATACCAGCCAGCCTATAAAATTCTCCGAACAGTCCTTTTCAAAAATCGTTTAAATGTTTCACTAATATCACCAATTATGCAAGCGTCCAAATGTTTAATAACAAAGCATCTACATACATAAATAATTTTTTCCCGCGCGGTTATACCCACGGCCAATCAAACAGACCAAAAACGGCAATTTGCCGGCAGGGGCAAAAGCGTCGAGAGGAGCCGCGTGTAGCGCGCGTCAAAAAGTTTAAGCCCTTATAACTCTTTCAAATCGACCTAATATTGAAAACCTAATATCGAATATTGCAGAGTAGAATTTTACGGTTCGAATGATACCAAATACAGCAAGTCAGCCCTCCGAATTACCGCTTTTCACGACAACAAAAAAACCGCCTTCGTCTTGATACTTTCTGAACACAGTTTTCTTAGTGCTTGGTATCATTAGAATCGCCTCGTGCCATTCTACAAGGTTGGAACAAGCTTTTTTTAAAGATTCACTTTAGTTTTAAAGTTATAAGGCTTAGAAATTTTGGTCCCATACTTTTTTGAGTAGATAGGAGTGCCGCGTTGCTGAGGGCCTTATTGCCGCTAATTTTGGGCGTGTACGGCTTACATTTTGCAGCAACTGTTTTCGCTTCCACATTCGAACATTCGCCAAAATTTTTCGCATCCGGAAGGATATGCCGATATATTTAATTTAGTAAATTTTCTGAATTAAATTGATGATTACTTCACTTTATTATAAAGTTAATTTGGTTTGATAAGGGGTTTCATTACCTGATAATTATTTTAATGATTGTAAATGATTTCAATTTTTTTTATTTGAAGCACATTTTGAATCTTTCTAACAATTTAAATTATATCGGTCGGTAGACTTGGGCAAACACAAGTTTCATAAAAATTTAAAAATTTCTAGTAATCTTTAACAACAATAGCTGAAGAGCGAGAGCTTCCACAAAAAGCCGCGCCAGGCGATGGACGTTTAAGTTATCTGCTTTCATTTAACTCGGCGAATTCTCCAGAATTTAGACCCCGAGATGGACTGCTACGAGTCGCTGGACGTCGGCTACGGTAGAAATGAAGCTGACTGCGTGGAGAGCTCCGGGTTTCGATATTATTTTGACAGGGATTTTTGTGAGTTTCAACGAATTCTAGCACCCACAATTCTTTAATCGAATTATTAGGGTGAAATAAGTAGTTGTCTATAAAACCCACTCCCCGCATTGATTTAAAAAACCCCTTTGAGATTCAGCTTCGGCGTATAATCCGAAAATGAATTTTATGTATAGTTTGAAGGTACGACGGGTCCTAAAATTTTTTTACAAAAAGCGTCGTTTAAGTAATTGATTAATTAATGATTTTTGTGATGAACTTTTCGATTAATATGACAGCTAGCGCGTGAGGCTAACGAGGGAAGGTTTTCTGATCTCGGCCGGGTATTGACATAAATCATACACCATTCGATAGAGAATTAAAAATAAATATATATCATTTTTGCCGAAGCGCTTCCCTGAAAAAGATAGAACACTTTTAAAGTAGGTTTTGAGATCCCCTCAAGGCTGTTTTCTACAAAACTGTTCTTATTAGTTTTTTTGTGCCAATATAAAAAAGCTATACCATCCCGTAGATAATTTTTTTACTGATTCGAATGGTATGTTTCATTAATTCAGGGCCGGTTTCCTAAACGGCTTCCATGGTGTAAAATAGCGCGTTACGGGGGCACTTTAACATAGAGAGAAGGAAGTCCTTTTGGTTGATTTTTCCAATTTGTGAGCTTGTTGCGTTAAATTGCTCATTCGATAGAGAAAACTTTTCTGAACAAGATGGCAAGATTCGTTTTGGAAAAATCGCTCGGGAAATGCGAAATATTTGGATGTAAAAGTCTTAAAAATTGCGCAAAAACTACTTTAAAAGTGCAATATCTTTTTAATGAAGGCTCATCGGAAAAATCTGATATTAAAGCCCATATTTATCTTCCATTTTCTATTGAATGATGTATCATTTGTGGCAATACCCGGCCGAATTCAAAAAATTATAAAAAAAATGGAAAGCTCGGCCCGCTAAATGTGATGAAACTTTTTTTCTAAGAAAGTCTGAGGTTTCAAAGGGGAGAAATCATATCACTGCCTTGTTCCCAAAAAAAGCCGTCGGGGTTTGAATTTTAAAGTCGAGCATTCTGGAAACGTAGCGATAATTTTTGGCCTTTAATTCCCATCGCATTCCAATGTATAATTTATTCACGCTGGGTACTCTGCGTCCCTCACTCTCTCCGTCTCTTCTGGTGCTATTTCACTTCTCCCAAATATTCATTATCATGACGACCTCACAGATTTTCGAAAATCCGAATCTGAAAAATAGCGGCATTCAGAGGTTATAAAATAAGGTACAGAAAATTTAAGATTCGAAAATTCTAGATTCTGAGAATTGGAGTTTCGGCTTCCCGAGATTCAAATAGGAAATCGTGAGAAGTCTGGCTTCCAATCATCAATATCTGGGATCGCCCGATTCGAACAGAAATAATTTGCAATGAAAAACTATCCAACGAAATAATGTCAAAGGATTTTCGGGGCGCTCAATAACAGCTTTTGAAACATATTTTTTCAGTGACCTGCTCGAAATTCTGGTACGTCGGTTGTGGGGGGAATGCGAACAACTTTTACTCGTATGATGTATGCCAGAGGACATGTCGAGACTCTAGGCGACTCCCGAAACGTGACGCTCCTGATATTTCGGGTAAGTATGGGCCTTGGAAGGGCCGGTGAAGCAAAGAATCCAATGCAAATTTGTTAAATTTATTTAAAAATCGTTATTCACCCTTCCGAAAAATTGAAAAATTAAATTCCGGAAAACTTAGGGTAAAATTCGTGTTTTAAGAACAAAACTCTGCGCCTAAAAAATGTTTCGTAGTGTTGCACTGCGATAGAGAGAATGGAATTACCAATCCAGTAAATCGATGCGTTGTTAAAAATAGATTTCAGATTACCCTCAAGTCTCTTTAGAGCTATCAAAGTATCCGATTTTTTCGATATTGTTGTATTTAGGTTTTTTTGCCTGTTTGAAAACCACCTGAATTTGTCATGGATTTCTCCCTTCGAAAAATTTTGAGAAAAATGATGTTTTATCGTTTTTCAAGGGCCAGTTACAAAATATTTATTTCGATAAAATGCTTTTCGACAACATGACTTGCATGAGGGAATTTGAAAACTCTGAAGTCATTTCTGGAGTCTCCAGGCGATTTAGTAATCATTATAGCCTTTGCAATTTTCAAAAATGGCCCCGAAGCCGCTAAGATCGAGGAATGAGCGACATGCAAAACCTACAAAATTTTTTGGTTACAAAACGCTTCTTTTTCCGAAATTTTAATACATTGTGTCTTTACGCAATGAAGTAAATTTATGCTTTGTATTTGTACTTTACCTCTATTTAAGTGTGTTTTTACGTACCGGCAGATCGTGGGCGCTGTCATGGCAATAATTCCCTGCCCGTCCAGCGATACACGTATGCTAATGGGAAGTGTACGGTATTCTCCTACAGTGGATGTGGTGGATCGGCCAATCGGTAGGCCCAATTTTCAGATATTGCAAAAAATATGTGTTTCGATCAGAACTAAAAACATTCGTATCATTAAAATTATAATTAATATAAATTTGTTCCACCAGTCGAAAAATTCGCACCCGCATACAGTGATTGGTAAATTCTAAATGATTCAATCGCAAAACTAATAGTAAACTATTCTAAAAATTATTTCGTAATATTTGTAGAAAGTTTAAGATAACGCTAGCTTAATATTTTAGATCAGGACATTTAAGCTGCGCCGGATTGGTCCGGCTGAATAAAATGTTTTGAAAGCGGATTGTCCATGATGCGCTCGCAAAAATTGCACTCCCCGCTTCGTGCTTCGAGTAATCGCGAGACGCAAAATTGACTGCAGTTTTTGAAAGACAGCATGTGTCATGTTTCAATCCAAACAGCTAGCCTGTTTTTGGGAAGCAGTGTAGTGGACACACTTCGGTGAACTCGAAATTCCGAAGCACTTCATACGGATTTGTTTAAGCAAAAAAAATATCTATACAAATCTAAACGCAGCAAAATTGTGTGCGAATTGTTACCGGGAAGGGTGTAGATTGCGTATTTCATCGATGTTTCTTCAAAGTGCTTCTCTAAAACATTTTCTTGTTTGGCAATACGTAGCGTTGTTGGGTTGTATCCAGTAGATGCATCAAAATACTATGAAAGTTAAATATAACCAGCGCTGACCCCCCGCTACGCGGCGGTTCAGCGCTGGCCCTCCCCTCCCCGCAATTTGAATTTTTAATTTGAATGCAAAATTTGGCTGAATTCCCGGTCGGTCGGCGGGCGTACGGACATTAGAAATTTATATATAGTAGATATAATATTTGCCGACGAATCGCCGGCATCTAACGAAAAAAATATATACGAAAGGTAAATTCTGAGCCCTTAAAAATCCCACGTCGAATTATGGTCTTCCAGGAAAAAGGAAAATACGCGAAGCCAGCAATTTCGTGGTGTTAATTTGCGTTAATTAGCGGAAGCCGGGCAGTAGGAAAATTTAATGGAGTTTGATATGGCTGTTGCCTTTAGTTAAATGGCGGTTTTTTTAAATTTGAGCCACCAATCGAAGAAAGAAGTAATTAGCCACTTCATTACAGCCTTTGCCGAGTGTTGTTTTGAAACATCATTTATTTGCTTAGTGCTGGCGCTTCGACAATGCCCGTTAAATATAAAAACCGTATTGCTAAATCGTTTTAACTAACAATAACTTCATTAAAAGTACCTTAAGAATGTTCATAAAAAAATTTCTTTGAATAAAATATTTCAGTTTCGCCTCCTCCCACGAGTGCGAATCGACGTGTAAGGGGCTGAAAAAGAGCGTCCACCCGAATCGTTGTTCACATCTGCCGGATTGGGGGTCGTGCAATCATATGCGATATCAGTGGTTCTACGACAGTCGTCAAGGTAGATTTCACCTTCAAACATTTTTCAAAAAATATGTTTTTCGGATATACCTTGTAAGCTGGAAATCTCTGAATTCAGTGGGTTCCGGGTTACGCTTGCTTTGACAGAATTTCGATAATTTAGCTATTTTATCGAGATTTTTGTAATACCATTCGATAGAGAAATATACTAATAATTTTTGTTTTAGCTCGTAATATGTATTGTCATATAAAAAAAAGTTTGAGAACACAAAAATCACGTTTCGAACAGGTGGAGGCCAGCTAGTTTTCGATATTTTGAAGACGCCGTTCGATAGAGCATCAAAAACTAACCTAAGAATTTTACTTTAATCTCAAAACAGCGTAATATAAAATAGTTCTAGCAAAAACGAGATTTAGACGCTGTTTCCCCCAATTTGTTTGTCCGTCAAAAGCAGCAATTCCATGCTTCAAATTATTGCAAAAATGCTAGAAAAAGCGGTTGGCTTTATAGATATTTTTAGTAATTATTTGACTTTTCCGGAGATTGTGGTTAGAAAAACATGTTTTGGAAAGTTGCCTGAGCAATACTGAAGTCTGGAAAATAGTATAGGCTTCGGTTTCATGGTAAACGTAATTTACTGCAATTGCACACATATCAATTCACGTCCCTATGCAGGCAATTAAAACTTTCATAAAGCAGAGTGGTTTAAAGGAAAAAAAATATAGTTAATAAGATACGTTTTACGAATTTATGGTACACGGGGGAAATTTAAACCTGTAGTATAGCATCCGCGGATCTCAAAAAACCTTCAAATCTTTTCTTTCTGACGCCTTTAATGCCCTTTAAGGCACCTGCGCCCAGTTTCTGTACGGTGGCTGCGGCGGGAACACCAACCGTTTCGAGACGTTCGAGGAATGTCAAAAGGAGTGCGAGCCCAGCGGTTTTGGTGCGTTTTTATCGACTGAATCAACTCACCACATTGCCCTTGCGAAAATCAAAGTGTCAGGATTTTTGGTTCAAACATACTTTTTTACAAGTTGTCTTAAATTTTGTTTTTGTCGATTTTTTGCCATATGGCAAATATTCCGCAATCAGTATGGAAAAGTTACCCTAAAAGTTTTTACAGACTTTTATGTTCGCATACCATCGCTACAAAAATCATGTTAATTTTAAAGTAAAATGTCGAAAAATGTGATTTTTGCCTATAAATTTTCATTTTTGCTTTGAGCCCTACCACTTCAGGATTAAGAATACAAAAAATTTTCAAATTATTATTTGAGATTGCCAAGAATTTTCGTTTGAGTTCTTTCCTCGGTCAAATATTACCGTTCAAAATATACCGAAGGTGGCCTTTGCATCAAACATTTTTCTCAAAAACTTTCGTACTTTTTTATAATAACTTTTTAACTTACAGCGACATGTAAGATACGTTAACTTTTTATAGTTGTTTGCTGTATTTTTGGGTTTAGATTATATTGGACAACAGGAAAATTCATCTAACGATTCCAGTTAAAACGTTTTTTTAACAAGTATTTTTCAGACCCATGCATGGAAGGATTAGATCGTGGAAAATGGTGCGAGACCATGTCAAATCGATACTACTATAATCGGCAATTAAAGGTAAGCTTTTCAATATGTAATAAATACATAAAAACACGAAAACTGACTAGTGAAAGTGCGGTTTTACCCAAATTTGAACGAATTATATTAATGAGCCAACTACGCAATTTTCCAAGGTTCTGATATGAAAAATTTTTTTTACAAGATATTTGGAGCCACTACTCTTCTTTGTTCCTCCCAATAATTCGGACAAGTTCCATTCGATAAATTAAATAATCTCCTGTGGTTAGAGATACTTTTAAAGGAGTTAGCGAGTCGAAATTCGTGCGTTCGGTTTCGAACCTACTGCTCAAAAACTATAGCGTCACTACCAAAAGCACCAACAAATTGATTTCCTTGCGAACAACCGAAACTAATGAATTTTCGAATCCATTTCAAAAGTTACATTCGTGTTCCCAAAAGCCAATTAAGGAAAAAATATCAGCCTTCTTCTCATATTTGCGAAACATATATTTGAGAAATCAGGCTAAAATATCTGGAATTTAAATAGAGATAATCGTTTAAAAGATCTAGAAGTGCAGAGAAAATAGGCTTCGTGGTTCGAAAAAAATCTGTCAAAAAATCGGAGACCAATCGCTAGTTTTTACTGGATACTTCGGCCATCAAAATAATCCGCCTCACCGGAAAGCATTATAAACCATTTAAACAAAAACAGGAATATTTATGTCTCCAGTCTGTGACCGATTAGCACTAGCAAAAAATCTTTTAAGCCAACCGTTGCCGAAACATTCTTCTTGAAAGCTCATATAGCATCTTTTTTTCAGGAATGCAAAGGTTTTCACTACAGCGGTTGCGGCAAGTCGAATAATAATTTCCACACGCTCGAGGAGTGCGAGGCCCGGTAAGTAACAAAATCGTAATTTGAAAAAAGCGCGGTAAAAAAGGATTTTTAGCTATTTAACCATCGCTTATGATTCAAAGAAATGGGCCGACTCGTAAAAAAATATGTGTTTCGTATAGTGTAGTAGCCGATTTTATTCAAATTTTAGTTAATGGCGATTACTTATCCACGACTGCTAGCGAATTGTAAAGAACAATTATCGTTATAAATATAATTTCTAAATTAGATGTGTCCGCCGGGGGAAGCCGAGGAAGGGAAAAGCGATTACCGGAGATAACAGGCTACACGATGACCCGAATTCCGAAATGCGCCAAATTACGGGCCCGGCAATGAGTGTGGACATCGATCACTCAGACAATACGCTCAAAATGAACCTGACGTTCGGTGGGTTGGGTTAAAAATAGCGTTTCTAATTACAATTAATTAATCTAAAATACTTAAAAACAAAAAGTTAATACAATTTATAAAATCTACTTAACTTTAATGCTTTAAATGTAGTGTATGCAAAATAATGATTTTTGGCGTCATGTTTCATTTAATGCCGCCGCTAACAGCCCAGTACCCGAATTGCTATGTATAATAAACCAGTGGAAAAGGCCCGCTTCGCGGCCCTTTTCCACTGGGCCCCGTCGAGGAACCATGAATTTGAGTAGCTTCTTTTTAGCCTGCGGCGCATGAACCTGAGTCAGACCATTCTTTGGCCTGCGGCGCCAGAGCCAGTGTTGCGCTGGAATCCTTGAGCCTGCGGCGCTAGCTACTGCTTTTTCTCCCGGATTTAGCCTACGGCGCGAGAGCGTGTGTCAAGGACCTCTTCTTTGGCCTGCGGTGCTAGAGCCTCGGTAAAGGACCAATCCTTGGCCTGCGGCGCGAGATCCTGCGCCAAGAACCTTTTTTTGGGCCTGCAGCGCTAGAGCGACAGCCAGGCCTAAATCGCGGACACGGAAAGCCTAGAAATATATTTTGTTGCCGAACGACCAAAAAGCAAAAAGATAAATTTATCGCGGATCCGAACCCGCGACCCTCAACGCCGTAGCCCCGGCCTTGATCCACCACACCACAGGGGGGGATTGGAACGCGGTAAAGGCCTCTTCATATCCTGGGGGCTGTGCTAAAAGGAATGGGCCCCAGCACCTCCGACAGGCAGGCCTTCAGGCCACTTTACAAAATTCAACTTTTGAGGTCGAAGCTGATCGAATTTTGTGAAAATAATAAGATGCGCGTGATCCGCGCCATTGAATGCATGAGTGTTCAAAAACACAGGTCCAAAATCGCCATGTGTATTGAGATATGGCCTGGACACCACCGCCCGTGGCACGATTTATTAAGGGCCTTCCAGAAAAATCCTTATAAAAACTTTATTTTCAAAAATTTTGCAAAATCCAAAAAAATGTATCTGGGGAATTGCTTTTCCCATCTACCTTCCAAAAATGAGGCATCAATTCCCTCTAGGCGCTGAGAAAACTTCCGGACAACGCGGCAAAAACCCATTTTGTTAAGGATTTTCACCATCTTGTTTGTAAAATCGTTAAATAAAAGAATTTCAAAAACCAAAAAAATGCGTGTCTGGCAAATGTCCTTCTCCACCTCCATGCCAAAAATCAGCCGGAAATTCGGCGTGACGGCCGAGAAATCGGCTGTACAGAAAACAGACATACTTTTCTCGCTTATAGGATAGGATTGAATAAGATTAAAAGCTAGTTCTTCGGTCTAATTGCGTCTTTTCAACCGCAATTATTTTTATGTTCCGCGATAATTTGTGGCCTCAAAGGTAAAATAGTTTTATCAAATAAACCAAGACGAACATTCTGGTATACTTTACAGCTCTCTAGCTCTAGCCGAGATAAAAATGAAAGCCGCGCCGCCACTAGCTATCCAAGGTCTAAAAAAATGATGTTCCATAGAAATAAATTGCCGGATCGGGAAATAACTCCACATTGTATTCCTTTTCCCATCCTAAAATACGTTTATCATTTCGCAAACCTAGGTGATGCACCCCGAACGACGCGACCGCCAAAAACCACCGTCAAGCCGGCTGCCAAGAAATCGGCAACGAAAAAACCCGATAAATGTAAGTAATTAAAGAAATTAAAAATTAATGTTTGGCTAGCAAATTCCACGTGAAAAAATTATGTTTCATGAAAGTTCGATGAGACAAAACAGTGATTTTAACGCTTCTCGTCCTTGCCGCTTCCAAAAATAATGCGAATGGCAATTCATCACAAAGCTAGATTTTGATGGCATTGTATCTCGAATTATTAGAGCCAAAACTTATGAAATAGCATCCAAAACCGGAAAGATGCTTCTTGTAGAAAATAAGTTTTTCATAAAATTGCCTAAAAAATCTAATTGACTTTATGCTCAATCTTCAATTCAATTTTTGTTAAAAAAAAGTAGACTTAAGACATAAAGAACCAAGAATCACAAAATTGCATGGATTTTTGATAACAAAATTAAAAGAAAACATAAAATTTCTAGACGGGCACCGCAAGCCAACGGAAAAGACGCCAATGGTGCGCCACGAGGTGTTGAATGGAGTGAATCGAACGTATCTGAAGACGGAAAGCGAATGGCACCACTATGAAGCTTGTCTAGGGTATCGGTACGTTTTACAACCTTATTTAAGCTTAAAAAATGATGCCAAAAAGTGGGTCAGAAAATTTTCAGTCTGGCTGAAAAAAAAACATGTTTCTTAAGATACAACGTCTCGGGCCCGCAAACAATCCTGAAGACGCATCTCTGCGATTTGGATGGGAATCGCCATTGTTGGAGTGAGGTGAGAAATGGAAAGTATCCTACTATACAGGGTGTCCCATAAAAAAGCACCCCTCCGGCATTTCGCCGTATTACATCCGATCGGTCCGAAATTTGGACCAGGGGTGTATCAGGTCATAAATAACCACAATCCTGAGTTATAGCCCGCCAGCTACAGTAATCTTCGAGATACAGCAAAAAAAAACTTTATTATCCGTTTTTCATATGGTTTGCGTCGAAATCGACCCTTCGAATATTAAGTGAAAATGAAGCGGCAAGCCTGCTCTACCCCTAGAGGTTTTTTTCTGACAAAAATTAGTGAAATAACCGTTGATTTCAGCAATTTTTGTAACGTAAAGTCACCCCCGATATTAAGCGAAATTAGGGATTCGCAGCCGGAAGTCGATGCAAATCGATGCAAAGTCCAAAAAGATAGCCGAAAAAAACTGTTAAGAACCGCGTAAAAAACAGTGATTTGGCGATAACTCGAAAACTACTGTAGCGATCGGGCTATAAGTCAGGATTGTGGTTATTTAGGGTCTGATACACCTCCAGTCCAATTTTGGGACTGTTGGGATGTAATACGGCGAAATGCCAGAGGGGTGCTTTTTTTTGGGACACCCTGTATATAAAAAAATAGTGTTTGTGTGTGTGTGTGTGTGTGTGTGTGTGCATTTGCATGCAACTTCCGTCCGTATGTTCCAGTCGTATCTCAATAAAGGAAGAACTTAAGGGCATGTATGATACGTCATTAGGTGCGTAATGGTCATGACACGACTGCACACCTATCAGATTTTTCAAAATCAGCTGTTTTCGACATTAAAAATGGGTTTTTGTCAAAATCTCGCTCGGCCTCTTTGTTAGGAATCAATTTGCATGCGCCGGAAGTGGGGAGAGCCTATAAAATGGGGGAGAGGACGTGCTTTTCATTTTTTGCACAGGAATTCAGGAGTTCATGCAACGTGTTGAAGCGTGGGGGTAAGACGGGGCCAGGGTTGAAAAGTCGCGAAGCGGCTTTTCAACACTGGTCGCAATTAAATAGGGTTTTGTTTACAGTATCGGGGCGGGGGGGGGCGGCGTTTCAATGGCGTTTATGGTATGATTGCGCAAAAACTAGCTAAAGCTAAAAAATTTCGAACTGGAAAACTGAAAAAGCAGAAGGAAACTCTTGATAACCCCTCCCCCGTTAATGCGAATGCACCTAAATTAAAGCTAAAGTTTTTTAATAAGCCAGAAAAAATGGTAAATAGCATGGAAAGTCAACGCCACAAAAAAAATGTTTCATCTGAAAATAACAGGTGGGATTTTTAAATCTGCATTAGTGCGTGCAACTTTGCAGTTGTCTTGTATTTCATATCGTAAACGGGTTCCTCCGGAAAAGTCCGTAAATAAAAGTATTTTCGGATTACGAATAAATATAATTTGATATCTAGGGCGACAAAATGTCATATCGTGCCAACACTTTTTAACCCTCCTCCTTGAAACGCATTTTTTTTTGGCTAGATGCAAAATAAATTTTTTGGGCGTGTAAACCAAGTATTTGAAAAGTGACATTTCGGATTTACTTTGCATATCATAGAGTGTTAATGCGCACGATTTTGCACTGAATCGCGAAATCCAAAAACAAAAAGCTTTCTGTAGCCTAAAAATGTTTCTTAGCTAACGAGTAATGCTGTAAATGTCGAGGTTTAATGGGTCTTCGTTCTACAAACCATCTGCTTTAAAGTATTTTAATGCTTCACTGTAATTAATTACTGATTTAATAATTTTAGATTCACCAATCCACTGACGGAGAAGAGCGCTGCGCCGTCGTGCGCCCATTCCTGCGCGGCACCCATTTGTACTCCTGGTTTTTTGGTGAGCCGTTGATCAGAATTTTTCCTCTTTTAAAAAATGTTTCAAAACAATGCCAATTCCTGTGGAATCCGCGTTTCCGAATTCTTTGATATTAGGCATCTGGATCACTTCAATAAGGCGTTCCGAATTTTTGAATAAGTCTTCTTTTAAATTAAACTTTACAAACTCTCAAAAATGTATATAAAATTATCACGATTGCCATATTGTTGGTGTTAAAGGGCTGGATAAAGATGGCCAGGCGTCCGTCGGGGTGACGGACCGACGTGACGCTACTATCTACGGAATTCGTATTCGGAATTCGTAATTTTTATGCAAAGCACAATTTCAGCGCAGTTCAAAGCAACAAGGCCGGAAACGACCGATGGAAGCACGCTAGGGTATTTGAGGGCTTTTCGCCGCGCCGGACCGGTTGGGGCCATCGTGTACTGGTTAGCACGCTGGGTTGTGGAGCGAACCATCGCTGGTTCGACCCCCGCCCGCTGCAAAATTCTTTGCTTTTTCACCAAATGCATCTTTCTCCAGCCCTTTAACAAGTTTTAACGGCGCAAAAGATCTCATTGCCGTAAACAATGTTTCAAAAAAATTCCAATTTTTGCGGGGAAAGGAGATGGGCAATTGAAGAGATTCGACCGTGCATATTTTTGCCATGAATTTAAATTACTTTAGAGCATATTTAAATCACAATTTCCAGAACTTGCCACCCGCCCGCACAGCTACGCCCCGGATGCGAAAATTAGGAAGGAGCAAACGAAAGAGGAAACTTGGGCATCGGTGCTACTCCTCAAAGCCAATCGATGTTTCGATGTGTGCTAGAAAGAAAGTTTTTTATATTCGCATAATCAATTTCTTTCAGCATATTCGCATGATGCGTTTCATAAACTGTAGTAGAGTAATAAAAATTTTGACATTTAATTGACAGTCCATAATTTTTTCAGGAATTAGCAATTCTCGAATTCATTTTTCCACAAAGCATTTTTTGCGGTGTTATTACGAAACTTGCTTTTTCTACCCACACATCTCAAAAATATTTGCATGAGATTTGGCTTTGCCTACCGTTACTTTGTAAAATAGTTTTTTAAGCGAGTTCCGGGAAAAATAATTTTTGAAACTCGCTTTTCCAGAGAGTTCAAACAGTTGCCTGCTTTTCGTTTGCCCTGCCTGTTCCGAACAAAGTGCAAATGTTTTCAAATTGCGTGTTAAAGAGCCTTCCCAAACTGCTATTTCGGATAAGAATTCCATTGGTTTTGCAAATGTCTGTGTGTAATCCAAAACAGGAAAAAATTTTAAAATTCTGGACTAAGACTAACTCACTCATCTAAAAGGCATTTTTCGCATTAATATTATCGAACACTGTTTTTCTACATAAATCAGAGCCTCGAATTTGCACGCATTATGGCTTGTCCTATCGGTTGCCAGGCGGAAATTTTTTGAACTAGTGTTTTTCGAAAAATGCTTCCACTCATTTTTCTAAAAAATATTATTGACATCGTGATTTCGGAATTATTTTTGCTATAATCAAAGCTGCGAAAAATTGGCATACGATTTGGGGTTTCCCATTTGTGTATGGGTATCTACATAGATGCAAATTTTTAAAAATATGTTTTGCGAAACTCATTTTCTAATCCGAACAGTATTATTTCGATCCAAATCAGCGCGTCCAAGAAAAGCTATTTGATTTTTCCAATTAGCAGCCAAGCTAAAATTATGTCGTTGTTTTTCAAAAAAATTTGTTTCGAAAATGTAGTATTTCGAAAATTTCGCAAATCTGTTATCCGAAGTCCGATCGAACGAAGTCCTTTTTATAAAAAAAGACACAATAAAGGTTAAATTTTTATCCAAATACAATCAAACAAAGCAAATTAATGAGGAGTCGTGGCCCGTTATGTGACGTCGATAGGTGGCGGACGGTCGACCATGTCAACGCCGCGGGCCTGCGAGAAGAACAGGGCGAGTTTGCTCTAAAAAATAGTATGATTCATCTAAAGTCATTAAAACGTTATCCGGTCGCCTCATTTTCGGAAGAGATGTGGTGGTAAAAACACGAAAGGAAGAAAGAAAGTATTTTTGAAACAATGTATTTACAAAAACACGTTAACCCTCAAAACATACAAAGAATATTCATTACAGAAATGATACAAAAATTCGGCTTACGCAACCCCCCGATAATGCGAAAGACCCCGTTTGTCCCGACTTGTAGAAAAAGTGTTTCAGCCCCAACTCATAAAAAAATTTCGGTTTTGACGGTAATCGGACGCCTTTGAACAGCATCGATCGCAATTTTTGATTGAATTTTCATTTTAAGCGTCATCAGCCTCCTTATTACCTAGGTAAAAACTCTAATAGTACACATTTTAGCAGCTATCCATCTTTGATTAATTTTTGCGAATATTTTAAAGAACGTGAGAAGCTGGACCCACATGCGGTGTCTGCCCAAACAACGGTAGCCCGCCGCCATTCTGGTGCAGTTCGGCGAGCAGCGCCGCGTCCGCGCCGCGCGGGCCCTTAATTTTAATCGTTAATAGTTTTTATTTTGCTTAGATTTTAAAAGCAAAAATCTACAAACTAGTAAAAAAATACAAAATAATTCTTTTGAAACAGCATGTTTCAACAATTTTTTGATAGGCATGCGTTTTTGTAGGCAAGATAATTTATATTTGAGGTAGATGCATCAAAACTGATAGGACATGTGATCTTTCAAAGACGCTCAGCTCCAATTTAAATATTTTTATTAAAGAGAAGTTGAAAAGTAGATGAGAAACGCGTCAAGCTATATTTCACCTAGTGCTCAGTCACTCTATTTAAACTTTTATTCAAATTTTACAGCTTTTTTTCTTTTAACGAGCCAGATTCGAAAAGATATTCACGAAAACGCGGTTTTCGTTTTCAAAATCATTGTTTCATCAATTTCCTAATATAAATCGGTGATTTCGCCTGCAATTTTATCCATTGAAAGTGAAAAATATTAAATCTTAGATGGATTTGCAGTGATTTAAAGCCAAGAAAAATAGATTTCTTGTGACCAGAAAAATTTAACAATATTCTATGTGGAAAATACAGAAAATTGAAAATCGTGTACCTGAGCCGCGCCATAATTGGTGAGGTATTCGTTGAGGTTGGCGGCGAGAAGCTGGGTGGCACAAGCCTGAAAAAAAGGTTAAAATTTAATTTTTTTAATAGACATTTTATAAAAGTTTTTTAAATATTTAAACATTTTTAAATCCTTCAAGAAATACCGTAAGCAACGCTTCCAGATTATTCCGCTCGGCCACCAGAAAGAATTCGAGCAGATAGTTCAGCCGGTCGCGATACTGAAAACGTGTTTCATACAAAAATATTTTTTGGTCGCGAAAAATGGTGATAGTTTATTTTGCCGTGGAACTACCGTAAACTTTACTACAGAATATCACCTGAAAAATCTGCGGGAAAACGTGGTGCTGGACGGCGGCGCGGAGGCGCTCCAGGCTTTTCGGGCGATACCTGAGGAATTTAAGGAGGCGTCGTATTTTGTAAAGCATGTTTCAGAATATTTATGGCCGAATTGGCGACAGCGCAACGTACTCCGATGACAATATCCTACTATATATAAAAAAATAGTGTCTGTGTGTGTGTGTGTGCCACTTTGCATCCACTTCCGTCTGTCTGTCCGGAGGATATCTCGATAGGGGAGGAAGTTACGGGTATGTTTGATACGTCATTAGGCGCGCAATGGCCTTGAGATGACTGCACACGTATCAAATTTTACAAAATCAGCCATTTTCGACATTAAATTGAAGTTTTTGTGAAAGTTTCTTTGTTAGGAAATAATTAGCATAGACCGGAAGTGGTGATTCGACTATATAAAGGCGCAGAAGAGGTTGTTTTTCATTTTTGTCATCTAAATTCAGGACAATTATGCAAAGTGAAGGATAAAATGGGGTTAGACTGGGCCAGGGTTGAAAAGTCGCGAAGCGGCTTTTCAACCCTGGTATTGTTTAAAAAATTGATCGCGATCAATCGGATCAAGGAAATGCTTCGCACTTTTGCGGATTTAAATTAATTCTATTACGTTACAACTAAATTAAAAATTAAAATCAAGGCTTAATTAGACGAAAAATTCAACTTACATTAAAATAGAAAAATTGCGGAAAAATACAATTTTTAGCGTCTCTTTTGAAACACGAGCGGGGCTGCGTCTCATTTTTGGCCTAGTCTCTTTACGTATATAGGTCTCCCGGTATTTACGTTATCATCTTAAAAATTATGCTAGGATTGGTTCGTAAAGGTATCCTTAAAACCCTTAATTACTTTCTGGAGACGTCAAAGAGCTGGCGGGCGTGGGCGGGCGACATCTCGCCGTCGTGCTCGAATGTGCCGGTGAGGAGGAATTGAAGGGACTGAATAAAGCCGCAGAAATAAATTGTTAAATCTGAACAAAAGATAAAATAAAGGGTTCTGGCCTGTTGGCAAAGAGAACTTTTTTTCAACACGGCACGTTGCCAAAATATAAGTTTTGTATCGAATTTAGGACGATTTCTTACCGGACAAAAAAAAATTATAAATTTTTAGTTGGCCGTTCGGTAATGAACGTATGAAACAAGACCATGTAACCAAAAAAATGTTCTAATCTTTTCTTTAGCTACTTACAACGGAAGATCACTAATACCCTTTCTAAAGCATTCTTATTATTGGGCTAGACGCCAATGTAATACCTGCTTGACGGGCAGACAGTTCGCATTTTCGGCCGTCACCACCACGTCGCGCTGTGTCTCGAAGAACTGGAAAGCATTGTATTTTAACGAGAGATTACCTCGAAGCATTTTAAATTTTTTTTTGAAATATTTTTAAAAGGGTTTATTGCAAAATCTGTCAGTCTTAAGGTATCCGATTTTCCGGTCTTCTTGCCTTAACTACAATTTTTAAGGTTGCATGCCAGCTTCATTCTGTACCCGATTATCGCCAGTCAATAGATATTGTTATTCATAATCTAGAACATTCGTTTTTTTTTCGCGACAATTCTTTTATGCCAAATGAAACCAAACGTTACATCTCGAAAATGAATGGAGGCCTGGTAGAGCGATTCGCGCGTCGCCGTCACCACCCCGTCCAGGCAGCGGATCGTGAAGTCGTGCAGGGATCTGCAAAACCGTTAAAATTCGTTGTATTATTTTTCCACAGGCTTTGGACATTTTTGCAACGCAGTTTTTTTCTTCAAGAACGACGGTAGATGGATTATTAGGAGCACAGGTCAGCTGGCTTATTTTTATTATGAAACATCGACATTTTGCTGCTTGCCTTTTGCCGCCAGCTTTAAATCTCGTTTTCAGGCAGTTCAGACTCATTTTTTGTTGATTTTAGACATGATTTTTCGTTTATTTTGGACATAGAAACTATTTTTACACGAATAAATATAGCATTTCGAATTCTTTAGAAATCTTCTAATTCATTTTAGCCTGAAATGGGATTCAATTTGATAAATAACTTTTCTCGGCAAATGTTTATGAAACATTTCTCATTTTTGTACAGATAAATTTGAAATTTTGAGATCTATAAAATCTAAATGAATCCTTTTTGTAGGCTCGGCCCCCACGTGTCCAGCAGTGATCGGAAGCGGAAGTCGCCATTCGGGGGCGGACGGATGGATTTGGGCTCAGGAGGGGCCGTGAAATCTGAAGCCGGCAACGTCACCAACAGGGTCAGCTCGATGGAGAACGGGGTGCGGCCTGAAAAACGTGTTGCCTTAAATTCTTCAATGTCCGCAAAGAACTCTGCTAGCCTGCCGGGAATCGGCGTAATTTTCCAAGTTGCTCTTATAAAAAGCGAAAGGCACGTACTAGGTATCAGCTCTCGAAGCTTCTGCAGCCTCTGGGGCACGCGCGACGTTTCCTCGTCGAGACTGGAATTTTTTTCGTAGAATTTGGCAGCGCATTATCTGGGGGGACTTGTTCTAATCCTGTTTTTAATCAAATTTCTACTATACTTCAATTGGAGAAATTATCTAAAAGTTTATAATATTTTTTATAATGATTGAATTTAGTCAATTTAGACCTTTTTGTCGAAAATCGATATTCTTGCAATTTTTAAAAAAATTTGTAAATTTATGCGCTTGGGAATAGTAGAAACTATTTAGAAAACCTTCACTATTTTCATTAACTTTCGATATGTCAAGAAAAAGTTGTTTCACATTCCTTGGCAAGTGACTAGAATTTTTATCAGCGCAGTTTCGCGTTTGCGCCAGGCAGTTTTTGCAGTAGCACCCAATCCCCGCTTCGAGGGCCTTGTTTATAGTAAATATCATAGTTTCTAGTTTATCGTAGCCTTGCGAGTAGATGAACCTCAATATCAGGTCGTCCATGGTGTTGCTGGGACCGATCGCCGCGCTTGACCGGGCCGGTGCCATCAGTTCTGCAAAAAACTCTGTTTCAAGTACATAAAACTTGGAAAAAATTTTGAAAGCCCGGCTCTTCGCTTTTAATAGCTTCCCCGCATAACCGACCGTCCCCGTGAGCACCCACGGCCCTTAAGATGTAGATGATCTGCCGGGGGCGGGGCAGGCGGCGAGACCAAGAACGACGGCTGCGCAGGTCCTGAAAATTGTGGTTTTATTTTCATTGAAGGGATTCTAAAAAATTCAGTGCGAAAATGCGATGCGAGATTTCCGAAATTTTGAAACATTAATAACTTGTCTTCTCCTACGCCAATTTTTCGCCCGATGCCGAAATGGAACCGTGTATGACAAGGCATACCCGAACTTAAAAAATTGAATCGAGACGAATAAACGACATAAGAAAATTTTTTTATGAAAAAGTGTTTCATAAAAATCTGGTAATCCCGAAAATCTCCTGGGGTGAATGAAGACGCAGCCTCGGGAAAAACACCCCCTCTCACTACGGAGAAATACCGGAACGGAACGATAGTTACACCACGCGAAAGCCCATACACCATTTGCAACAATCTTCAAAACCATGTTTTATTTAAACACGTCATTTTATAGCGAAGTTAAAAACCGTAAGGTACGATCTCTGCATCTAATTAACGCCACCTTAGGGCCATTTTCTTCGCAAAATTTGAGGCAAATTAGCTGGTATGCAACCCCGAAAAACAGGAAAAGCTTGTAAAATCGAGCGGTTAAATGAAAACTTGAAGATTGTTGCAAACTCGGCGTGTCAAGGGCTTTCGAATGGTGTAAGTATCGTCCCGGTCCGATACGTCTACGTCCGGTTAGAAGGGGTACTCGGCTGCATTACAAAAGCTTTCGCAAAAACTATAACGCACCAGCAGCCATCGGCGGTTGTGGCGTGGCGGGAAGGCGAAACGATCACGGCCCCAGGTGAGGTGCCTGCAAAAGGGTTACGGTATTTTTAGAGTCGTACAGAATGCGGACCATCGTACAGTGACGATCCACTGGTACCAAAAAAATGAGCATCAGCGATTTTCTAGGGTTTCTCGGAGTCGCTCATTTTTAATTTTGTAACCTCGCAATTATTGTTCTTTTTGCATTTTTGATTAAAAGTTAGTGTTTCTCACAAAGCTTGACTTATTATGGACTTTTTATATCTAAAAACCGTGTCAAATTCCATAAATAGGCTGAGGTACATTACCCCCCGCTGACCCCCGCCTGCCGTATCTCCGCTCCATGTTGATCTACAGCTGTGTCAAGTATACTAGAATACTCGCAAGAGCAAGACGAACATTTTAGTATACTTTACAGACCTGTAGATGAACAGGGAGCCGAGATACAAAGGTTAAGTGCTGGCTGGCGGGGGTAAGCTGCGCTCTAACTCATAAATATGGTCTGAGTTCCTAGGGCTTCACGGAATTAACGGGAAAAATTGTTTGCCCTCTAACTGTTTAGGACCGCAGCCGTATCTGATTCCGCGTCTCGTTTCAACGGTGCCGAAATTATGTTCCAACTTAACAAGATGTTTTCGGTAAAAGAAATCAATTAATAGTCCTTCGTCAATGAGCCAAAAGTTCAAAACTTTATGAGTCGAGTTTGTCCTCTAGAGTCAGAATATAATCCATTTGCGCCGAAAAATAGCAATAAATTACAAAAATAATTGAGGCGGAAAAGTAAAATTGAAGACCAGAATTCGGCGTACAAATGCTTTTAATTCGCTTTTAGAACTCTTCCATTTTTCGCCAAAGTATGTTTCACATCAAAAAGATTTCCTGGCGAATAGAAATTTATTCGACCTGTGCACGAAGTAAAACTACCATTCATATCCGAGAAGCCCGTGCGCCGTGATGAACGTCGTGTCGATGCCCTGGCGCTGCACGCGCAAATCCGCCTGAAAAGTTAACAATCGATTTTTGGAGAACTCTTCTTTAAACCGTTTTCGATCATGAAATGAAATTAAGCTCAGTAAAAAATAAAACATAGCCTGCGATTAAATTTTTGCCCTTAATTTGAATTCGTAGGCTAATTAAATCGTATACAAACCTCGCAGGAAAGCTGATATCGAAAAGTGATTAGCTGATCGCCACCCGGCGCCGCCATATTAAAATGGAGAGAGTAGAAAATGAATGTTTTATCAAATGGTTAACTTCCTTGCCGATTTTTTATGCTAATTTTGGTTTGCATGTTTCTGCTTTCAGTACCAGCCAGGGTTTGCCGGATTTTCAGAACTACTAAAAACCCGCATGAAGCCCTTGTTTCGAGCACCTTTTCGATGTTCTTATAACTCAAGAATACGTTATGTAATCTAATTAATAAGTTTTTTTATCTGTTGCTGTTATCTGGTTTTTGGCGCCACATCTCAACGCAACACAACTCAAATTTGTTGCCTAAAAATTCTGTTTCATTTCAGATCGACACGACCATATTTTCTTCGCATTGAGTCGCATCCCGTATATTCTACATAGTCTTCGTCAATTTTCGGACCAGTCAGAAAATTCGTTAAATCAGATATGAAAATATTAAAAATGTTATAAAATGCGACAGAATACTTTGTTTCCGCTGAAAATATGAATGGCAACCAAAATTATGTTTCGTCTCCGGTGAAGTTGCTAAACATTTGGTTCCATTTAATTCCTGGTAAACAATTGGAAAATTTTATTTGCTTGACCTTGCCCATTCAAAAATAATAAGCGTTTTTTTGATAGTATGTTTCATTTCACTGGAAATTTCCATCCGTTCTGGTCCATTTAATCCATGGGGGATTCCCAAACACACCAATGGCCGCTTTTTGTGTATATGCGTGTGTTGGGATGTGGCTGAAGAAATGTGTGTATCGTCGGGGTCACAGCTTTAGGACGGGGGTCACAGCTGGCCCCCCAGCCACAGCGCCACATGTGCGCCCCGCGCGCCCCGCGTTGCAGAAGAAATACGGCCACCAGACGACATTCCTTTGCTCTCTCTCTCTCTCTCTCTCTCTCTCTCTCTCTCTCTCTCTCTCTCTCTCTCACTCTCTGTTCGTCCCCCTCTCTCTCACCCACCAAAAGACAGCGAATACTACAAAAAGCCGTGCACTACCCTCGCTTACCATGCCGTAAAAAGATGAGGGCAGCTGGGGACACGCAGCTGGGAATACTGTATGATAAAAACGATATGCAAGGTAAAACTATATATAAACCCCCAGGGTAAGGTATGCCGTAAAAATTAAAACGCCTTTTTCTATGTAACCCTCTCTTCCTGAAGTATCTCGGCTAACCGGAAATGAATTAGCGGAAACGGGCAAGGTAAGTATTTGATACCGTAAAAGAGTGCGAAACACCGATTCATGTATAACTTAAAAATGTAACATGCGTTTTTTTCTGGCTTACCACACGTCAACTGTAGCCTATTTCCGCACGGACAATTATCGTAAACCAAAAAAGGTAAAAACCCACCTTTGGGAAGTTTGATTTTATCTTTTATTTATTTTAACACCACAAGGCAGCTTTACTATTCCTAAAGCGACAGGTCATTACAAAAACACAAAACAAAAAAGTTGCCGAACAAAAATGACCTCCGAAAATTCCCGTTTATGTTCTTTATTGCTATGTTTACTGAATTCCATTGAGCGAAGCTTTCGCGGCAAGTTAGTTAAGCTAGACCCTACACAAAGTATTTTCGCACCTAAAGTATGTTTCACTGAAAAGTATTGATACGAACCTACACGCAAATTTAATTGAGTTGATCGGCCCTGTATAATTGCAATGTAATATTTTTTTATAATATTTACAGCAATTCGAAAGCCCGGATTTAAATGATTCGATTATGTCTTTAATTGATTTACTTTGCCTTGTCGAGTTCTAAATAAACCGTAATAAAATATTACCTTTGGCTGTCCGATGCCCTTAATGAATCATTCCTTTTTTAGAATGTTTCATCTATAAGGTAAGTCAAACATAAGCTTCAAACGGGTTAACTGATCGCCGTCATCTAATTTTTCTTGGATTTTCCGTCGCACTCCAATTTTCTTGTGTGTTTCAATCGTAGTTAATTGAATACGGAAATTAGTTATACAAAGGGGAATCTTTCATAATCTCGCATTTTCAGAATCTCGCATTTTCAGAATCTCGCATTTTCAGAATCTCGCATTTTCAGAATCTCGCAATTCCCATAGACTAGCTGCATTTCTACTAAGTACAACTAACAGAGCCTCGGCATTTGGAAGTTTCTGGAAACGTTGGGCGGTTTCCAGGAACGCACGACAACCGTCTAATCGAGGCGCAGCAACAGGGCATCTAGCAGACACCCATTGCCATCGATTACCAAGCCCAGCGTGGCCTCGACGAGGTGTACGACGCATATGACCATCTCGAATTCCTTTAATTAGTGGCCCAGACATGGATTAATTTGGTGTGATCCGCTTATTCTGTGATCAATCATCATTCATCGAATTCTTGGAACCCTTGGAAAGCCCTTGGAAAAGTTGCTAGACTGAAATTGCGAGATCCTGAAAATGCGAGATTATGAAAATGCGAGATTATGAAAATGCGAGATTATGATAATGCGAGATTATGATAATGCGAGATTATGATACCAAATCATACGAAAGATATCAAAAAAATTAATTTAGCTCCCTTTAATATAATTTTTGCCTTATATTTCTTATGTTTCACCCAACTCTCATTATCTGAGTGGGGTGGCAGACACATCTGGCGATCGAGGGTCAATCCCCTGGGTAGAGCTATCACATTACCATCCCTCGAACAAAAGAAAAAGTTGCGCCCAAAAAAGCCGATCGGCCATCAGCTACGCAACGCAATTCGAGACGATTGACCAGATGACTGACTTTTTGAGGATTCAGTCGACTTATTGTCGCTCCATTCAAGCATCGGTTTAGAGGGAGCGTGCAATGGGCTTTGGGACGATCTTACAAGAAAAAAATATTTTGTAAAATACCCGATCGGTTGCTACCTTCATAACTGATACACAATTCTATATTTCAGACGGCTCTTGCAGACATAAATATAAATAACAATAGTTAATATGGTAATTTATCAAGATCAAATTTTGGGAAAAATGAAAATCGGGCCTTGCAAAGTCAAGAATTCAGCAGAAAATAAATGTTTCGCCAAACTGCGGCTACCGTGACGACTCGTTACGCTTATTTGATTTGGCGTTGTGATAGATTCAAAAAAATTAAAAAATTAGATTTGTTTGTAAAAGACTGGAAATGCTGACCTATATATAGCCATTAAGAACTCTAAATTAAAAATTGTAAAAATATCAAAACAAGAATGACAAGATGTAATAACCTTAGTTTCCGATGGTTTAACGACGGGCTAATCCTGGCTTCGTCCTGGCGGTAAATATATTATTTAGCATATACAATTTTTTAAATTTGAGGGTCGTGTTATGCCGGATGTTAAATGGAGGCTTTTTTATTGCTATTTTTTAAGGCTCGGTACCACAACTTTGTTATTAAAAACAAGATTAGGATCGAGAAAAATTTTACGAAAATTGATTGTTTCACCAAACTTAGGGTACGGCATCGATTGAATTACGCTATTGTTCCGATGAAAATACATCGCGCTGGAAAAAGCTTTGCGAGGGGAAACAGGAAAAAGAAGCGCCCAGACGAATTCGTGTGCATGCCTTGCATGTCCCTTTAATCGAGTTCTCTAGATGTCAATAGAATACAGAATTTAAAATGATAATACAATAGACTGAGTGCTTCAGCAGATCTCCGATTGTTATTTCAACACGTTTAGCTAGTGACCTCAGATTGTCAGCCTAGCGAATTAAAAAGAGGGACATCGCATCACTATTTTTGCTGACTCGCTTCGCGCCCAAAATTTTCGACACGCTTCCTCTTTTTCAGCATTTTTTCGACATAAGACCAAAGAACATCAAAAAATTGCATTTAAATTTTTTTCCGATTTTTCCGCCATCTCGCGCCAGAGGATCTTTTCTTCATTTGTTATTATGATTTATTAGAATCCTCTCACTCCTGTTATGACCTGTGGGTATTTGCCTGTCTGTGTGGCTCTCGCCAACCCGCTAGCCCTGGGGTGTGGCGGGTTACGGTAGCTGACCACATGGCTGTCTGCCACTCCCCCTCAATATGCCCTTGTTTATGGGTTAGCCGGTTGTTTATAGGTGCCAAAATTAAGGCAAATTGTTAAGAAGTAAATATGGATGCAACAATATAAGAAAATTGTGTTCAATACAAAAAAATTTTTAGAAATTTTTTAGAAACTTTCCTTCCCGAGCTTTGCTTTTTGATAGGAGTCATTGAAGGGGATGGCCAAATATCATTTATCTGATATTTTAAACTTTCAAATTCTTTCCAATTTTTTCAAAAATATTTTTCTTGCATTAAAACGTTGCAGAAATTTGCGTTGCTGTCCCTTATCCTTGCCTGTTAATTGGAGCCTTCCATTCGCAGTTTTATTTTCGCGCTTTTAAAATCAAGAAAATTTTGATTAAAAAATCTTGAATACTGTCGGTTCTAATGGAAAATTCATGTTTTACTGAATATCTATCAGCGTGAATCCTGTACTCCTTAATTGGTGTGTCGCATTGAGTAATTCTGCTTTTGGAACATTTCAGGTCTGCAGTATACGCAATTGATCTAGTCTAGCAAATTAATTCGTAAGAATCCTCAATTAGGAAAAAGAAAAGGAAGACGCCCGGTCGATAAAATGCGAGATTATTTATCGGTGCGAAAAGCAAGTACTTTTCAACATCCGAATAGATCGGAATAGTCGCAAAAAAATGTTTCATAAAATTACATTCCCGCGCCTGCTCCTTGCCCCGAATTGAATCGTGCTGGTAGCTGAAGTCTGCTCCTTTGAAATGTCTAAATATCTTTTCCAAAAATCTGGACAGTTATCAGACCCAATTTGAAATTAATGTTGTTGAAAATTACCTATCAGCGTGACTTCTAGGTGTCTTGCGAATAACTAGGAGCAAATATCGCATCAAACCTGGCAAAACACTTTATGTTTCACAAATTCTTATTCCAGGGCCTTCTCCCTGACCGCTAATCGTGTCAAGGTCTTTAGGGTATACATAGGTCGACGCTTGCATGCGCCGCATAAGCGTGGCTGGCCACGCTCTTCCGG